CTTGTAACAAGAAGGAAATCAGGCATCTTCAAGAGTTACTGAAACGGCTTGATAAAAACCAATTAATCTCTAAAATTTAAGACAGTAGGACCATTTCATTTAATTAATTTGTCTATTTAAAAATAATTTTCTAATAATTTTTTCTATAAGGTTTTTGAAACAATGTGTCATTTATTAGTCTTATACTAAAACTAGCCACAGTTCTAAGATTTGAAAATGTATTAACACTAAAAATGTAATGATGAACAGTTGAGAGTTTTTATTCTTTCATGCTTTTATGCTATGCCAGCATGCTTTTGTGTATAAGTGTAAGTAGTTTTGTGTATATATATCAAAGGCACGCACCACAGAAAGTTAAATATCAATTATTACATCCGTAAAGTTTATATTTCGAATTGAAGTTTAGATTAAAAGATAAAATTATTTTGATGCAGAAATCTTAGAATAAAATGCAATAATAGTACATAATAATAATACCAATAATTAGTTATTTTAATAAAGATGATTTTCCAAAACATCATTATGATTTTTAAGCAATTGTTCTTCGGACATAATTTTCATGAAGGTATATTTTCTTACAGTTCGGTTACCAAGTAATAAATAGGTGATCAAAATCATTTAGGCACACGTAGGAGAATTTTGCAGCAACAAGATGTCATAAAAGTTGAAGCGACAATTACCCGTACAAAGTTGATTTAGATATTTCATGTGTAAAGGTAACATAATTTGAAGGAAAAATTATGGTATCTTTTCTATTAGATAATAATTTGAATTTATAAAAACAGATTCAATAGAGGCCAAATTAGTTATATTCTGAATGCCTTCGTGAGAATACCAGTGCATAGTATATTATACACTGACTTTAATAGGTATTTGACTTGTCAATCAAAATTACTCTTATTAAAAAACTGAAAATGCTTTGTATTAGAGGCTCTCTTACGCACTGGTTGTCCAGTTACTTTGACAGGTGGATCACAATTTGTTTAAATTTATGGAAGTAAGTTAGGGGAAATCACAATTTTTCAGGGATTCCTCAAGGATCAGATCTAGGACCCTCACTTTCATCATCTATATAGACGATATTAAATTATTCCGAAAGATGTTGAAGACTATTTTTGCAGGTGATTGCAAATTTTTCAATATAATATAATTCACCTGATGATCAGTGAGTCTTCAAAACTACATGGAATGCTTTTACAAATGGTACGAAAACAATTAAACTATTATTACAATCCTCTAATGTAAACCTAGAACCTTTTCTCACTTAAGAACCACCAACGGAATTGAATATTTTAACTGACATGCTACTATAACCAAAGTATTCTCTATAAGAGACTTGGGCATTATTTTCGACTCCAAATAAATGTTCACGGGGACATACTGATCTGATAATCAATAAAACCAATCAAATCATAGGATTGTTCAAAGAACATGCTTGGCTTTAAACTCACAGAAATGGTTTAAATCTCTTACATGGCACTTGTGAGACCATTCCTGATGTTAGCATCAGTTGTGTGGTCTCCACATATAAACATTGAATGGACAAGGACTGAGACAATACAACATACATTTTTTAAATTTTAGCATTGAGAATGTGTTTATCTGATGCATTTATTGATCAGGAAATATAGTTAAATTGTGAAACAAATGAAAATCCATCACTGAGATTCTTGACAAACTTTGTCGATTCAATTTTTTTCTTAAACTTATTATAGGCAATATGAATTGTTCTTTACTTCAGGGTTCCCTCTGTCAATACTAGGTTAACTACGTTTGAAATAATAATTACAATATCTCTTAATAGGTTAAATAATCCATGTGTCAAGTACAAGCAGTTTATGCAATCGGTTGACAATTGATTTATTCAGTCAATCACACTCAAAGAGTAAAGGGTTTCAAAGAATTATTTTTAGAATTTGGATTTGGATTGTCATTCAATCGACTTTGTAATACTTATTACTGTATATTTCTATTTACTAGTCAACGTGCCAATCTATTTTGTATGAAAGAGCAGCACATAATCAATAAATAAATAACCCTTTTGGTCTCTCTCTCTCTCTCATTTCAAAATAAATCATCTGTACTTTCGAACACATTGACAGGTTTATCTACAAGATTTGAAATTCATGATTTTCAAATTAAAAACATTGCTTTGTGTTGTCAGTGCTCTGGGCTGTCAAAGGGTGGATTCTATTTCCAGCCGTATCATTATAAAGAAAAAAATTTCATCTTTTGATGGGGGTGTAATTAATTTTGGATGAAAAACTAT